TGGTGATTAATCATGATTAATTAATTTTTAAGCTGTGATTAATCCGATTAAAAATTGTAATCGTTTGACAGCCCTAATATATATATATATTATTCTGGTTCTAATTTTGTTACTCTTGGAAAAAAAATGCACTAAAAGAAAAGGCTGCTATTGGTTCTTAAAAGGCTGCTATTGTTTCTTAAAAGGCTGCTATGTTTTCTTTATATTGACATTTTATAAATAAATGTATTTTATTTGTCAAACTTTTATTTGTTACAATTGTTTTCATTTCTACTTGTGCTGGTCAATTATTAACACTATATAAGCATGAGGAGGCCAACAGTGCAGGGAGAGCAGCTGGCATGGGGGTGAAGACATCACAACAGTCTTAATGTTCATTTAAATTGAGATATTCCTCTAAATCGACGTTAAAAAAGGCAACAACAAAAATCTAAATGCATCTTCCCCCGAAAGTCTCACTCCTACTTTTTACTGAAACTTGGCAGCCCTGTAATTTATATGCATATATCCCCCGGCTCCCACTAGCTTAGGTTTACTTAAGTTTAGATAAGAACATTTCATTTGAATACTAAAGTTTGTTAATCCAAAAACCTGTTTCCTTGTCTCTGTGTCTCACCTTCTAGTCCCTGGCACATTTTGGCTGCAGTTGGGCATAACAGTGTATAAAGACACCATAAACGTTTAGTGACATAACTCGATGAGTATGTAAGCTACCTTTGCACAATTGGTATTGCTGGATTCAGTAGAACCACACCTTTTCAACAAGCCATTGTGTGTGTTGCTATGGCAATCCATGTCAGGGTCACTACAAAGTAAAGAGATCATTCTACATAGTGTGGTGACACGTTATTGGACATAATTCACCTCTCGTATTGTGTTGCCACACGGACCCTTTAGTGGGAACACCTGTAGTGTTAGCTTCCATTCCTGCTCGTCAAGCAGAGCAGTTCATGCGATAACCTCTCTGTTATTAATGGCTAATAAAGATTGGAACTCGGTTCTTAATACCACCGCCTCCGACTCCCTTTCCTGGCACTACAATAGATACATTTCCGCCTATTGTAGGTATGTGTTCAAATGACTGTATCTCCAATTTACATTAAGATATTGACATTCAGTCTTTTCTATAATGCAGAAAGATGTCCTGACCTCAGGCTATGCCAAGTTTTTAAACCTATCAGACCTTCCATTTTGAATCTACATGAGTTGTTATGCCTCAACCCCCAGACGGCCAACCTTTATTTTTAGTGTGGGGTGTCTAACTTTACACACACTTTATATTGTATGAGCGGTTCCAGGTTGAATTGAGGCGAATATTTTTAATGTTCAGAGGTTGTTGTGTTTAATATTCATGAGAATATTTGTCATTGTTCAAATGATAATAAACATTTGCATAAAGCATATTTGTCCACTCGTATGTTGATAAGAGTATTAAAAACTTGAAAAATATTCCTCTAAGGTACATTTAGAACAGATAAAAAATGTGCGATTAATTTGCGATTAACTATGGACAATCATGCGATTAATCGACTGACAGCCCCTAATAATAAGTACCCTGTATCAAGATTGATGCAAAACAAGTGACATTTGACCTTTTTTAGAGAGGTTTAGCAAAAACAATTCCACCTCTGAGATGATTTGGGTGGAAATGGGGGTTTTACCATTTCTCTGGAACCCATTGGTCGATTTTGGTGATTGACATCTCTTTCTGACCGTTAGAGCCAATAGAATCGAAGGGTCAACAAAAAGGTGTGGGCTTCGCGGACACAATTTTGCACCAGAGTGAAGCTGTCTCTAGGTCTGACTTCTAGAAATGGAAACGCAGGTTTATTGCTTATGGATTATCAGAAATCATTTCAAAGGGACACAGACACATTGGATTAACCTATGGATTAACTTCAGCAGCGTTTTTATCGTTTTAATGCAATTGAAGACCACTTTTGACCCAGACTACGACACAGGTGAGCCATGTTAGCGTTTTTAGCTACCTAGCGCCATATGTTTTGATGTCTGTTCTTGTTATTATCTCCGCAAGTTCGTATACTTGAGTGATAATGAGGGTACCCTTCGATTCTGTGTCACCTCACGATGTGAAACGATTGGTTGGATGTGCAGCAAAGATGTTGCGGCAGTGCCCCGGTACCGGGGTCTCTCGGGCTTAACAGGTTAACAGAATGAACCGACCACCTATGGACCCAGCGGATTGTTATTATTTTGACTTGGATCTGTTCGACCTGGATTACTCCCTTCGGTGTCATCATGCTGAGTGGAGTAGAACCTCGTCTAGAAGGGACAAAGAGGCTGTCCGCAAAAAGGCACAAATGGAGGGTCCTTCCTTTTCCACGATCTTAACAAACAAGCTTCTTTAATTTAGCCCTTCACATTCAAACAGAAACTGAATAGGCAGATTCGAAGGGTTTATTTCTTTGGAATTTTATTTTAAATCAAGTTATTTTGGTAAAACTAATGAAAAATATATATTTTTAAAATATATTATTTTGTAGAATATCTTAGGCCCTCAGAGAGGGCCTAGAGGGCCCTGACGGCTCGCCACTGTCACCGACTGATGTGCAGGAGCGTCAGCCGGTCCGGGACTCATGAGGGTCCGAACGGTGAACACCGTGGTTCCCGATGCGATCACAAGGCTACAGATAGCGATGAGCTTGAATAATCAAATATTGATAGCTTGGCTTCTGCTCTAAGAGTAGTAGCCAGTGCAGCGAGATGATGAAAAAGGACTGAACTTGTTGACAACACCGGGACTTATGCCTTCCAGGGTCATGCGAGGTCACACATGACTTTTTTGACATAAATACTCGATCAGCGCATGCGCTAGACAGAAAATATCCAGTGCCAAATACTGCCTCTGACAGTCAGTAAGGATGAAATAGAACTTCTTCCAACTAAACACAACAGCAGATAATGCCCAGGGCCCAGGAGTTCAAAACTTGTAATCCCTATCTGATCAAATCAGATTTGGATTTTGGGGAGTTCAAAACCAAAAAACAGGATTAGGATCACTTTGATATCCGATCAGATCAGGAAATCCAATCCAAGCTTTAATCTGGATCAAATCTTCAAAACGGGTAGTTCAAACCGACAACACAGGATTGGGATGAGTTTGATCCCAAAAAACTGGATTATCCTGATCCCACCAGAGGGTGGATTTCCAGAGCAAAATATACTGTACCATTTATTTAAAAATATGTTTCAATTTAAATTAGATGGCAAAGTTTCTTAACTGAAATAATACACAATTTTTAGCCTTCATGGGAAATACATTTTATTTTTCCATTTTTTGCTCACGTTTGTGGTGGCCTATTTTGTTTTCAACCAAATGTTGATGACATAAATGTGTATGCTCATAAAAGATTGTCAATCAGAAATGTAATTTAGATTAATTAAAAAATATCTTCAACAAAAAAAAAGTCCATCACCTTTCAAAAGTAATTGCGGCCAATAGATGTCTGCAATGTGGTCTCTTGTCTTCCTTGTATTAGTTTTCACGTCCACTAGATGGTGATCGGTAGAATTAAAGCACTGATATTCAGGATCTAGTCATCTTGAAAAGTCGTAATCTGGATCAGGGTGATCCTATCCTGAATTGCTTTGAACTCCAGGGACAAAATTTGGCCGACTTGTCTGATCCTGGATCACAAAAAACGACATTTCAAAATCTGATCGGATCTGATTGAGATTAAAAGTTTTGAACTCCTGGGCCCAGGATATCAGGATAAAGACAGAACAGGATGAAAATAAACCAAACGCCCTGTAATGGCAATTTCCTTTTCCTATGTCCTATATATTTTTGCCGTTACGTTCACAGAAGGGTTGAAAAGTGATCCAGACGCAGACACAAACAGATGATTTTCCGGTCCTTAGTTGTGGTTTATGATGATGTTTATTCGTCTTTACATACCAGGGTTAATTTAGCGTTCTAGTGATTCTATGAGCATCTGCCGGGCTGGTGGAATCGGTATGCTCTTCTCCTACTGTGTCCACACCGCTCCTGTCACCTATGACCTCCTTATATACACCCGGTGCAGCTAAACCCTGCCACCCAGTGTTCATAAATAATATTGCACTATACATATAACTTAAATAAACTGACACACCAACATCACCCACAAAATGGCTCCTACACGCCCTAAGAAGTTTCCAAACAGGTTGAAACTGTTTAGTCCTCATATCATCTGGGTCAAAGGTGACCTGGTTTGACACTATTATTTGGTATCTGCTTTATCTCCTGCCTCTTTGTTAAGACAGGTACAAAGTTCCAAAAGTGATGAGTGGGTGTTTACTGGCATATTTTATATTGTAGAACTAAACATGAAAATCTCATAAGGTGCGACGTTTGTTCAGGCCATTAACCAGAAGCCCGTGCAAACACATTTTGACGTCAAGACAAAGGAAATGGAAGTGGGAAAATGCTAACTTGTGTTCAAGCTTAAAGACTTCTCAAGCATTGTCCATATTTCCATTTTGCCAGCGAACAGCATGTCAATCAGAAAAGTAGAGAAACTCTCATCTCCCCTTTTCAAAAAGACAGGATGTAGATCCTTCAATATATAAAATGAGCTGAGCTTAAAGGGGCCCTTTATGCATTTGGGGGGTTTGCCTTTCCTGTGTAGTGTGATATAGGTTTTTGTGCATGTAAATGGTCTGCAAAGGCTAAAATCCAAAAGTTCCCTACAGAGGGAGTTTATCTCGCACACACTCCCCACTGGCCTGACACGCCTCACTTTGATTCGTTTGTTTACTTCATCACAAAGTGACATCACTTGGCAGTTGAATTATCACAACAGAGCTGGCCAGCTAACCAATTAGAGCAGACTGGGTTTTGGTTTCAGACAGAGGGTGAAAATAGGTTTTCAAGCAGTATGAGAAAAATAAAGAGCTCTGAACATTAAAGTAAGTAAACACCTGAAAACTAGTATAATAGGGCCCCTTTAAACCCTTAATAAAACAATTAAAAGCAACATTTTCTAAATAAGACTTACCGGATGATTGTTGGGAACAGTTCTCCAGAGTAAAGATAGCAGCAGTTGAATGAGGCAGCGAAGCAACCTTTACCCAGTACAGCCATACACGTGCGTGCAGTCTGTTTATCTGCACATGGAGTGAGACATTCATCAGAGGACTGTGTTGTTTCTGCAGTATGATATTCAACTTCTATACATGTTTTCAACCATACCATAAGGTATCAGCAGGTTGATCAAAACAGTGATTCCAGCGATGATGAGAGCCCCACATTGTGATATGCGCCGTCCAAAATAACTCATAGATACGACTATGACGACTTTAGCAGGGATGTCGACAGCTCCGAAGATCACTTGGATCAAGTAGATGTCCACCCCAAACTTCTGCAGATCCATTGCAAGACCGTAGTAAGCAAAGCTCGTGGATAACCTAGGTTTGTTTTTGAAAGAAAGCATTAACAGTGTCAATGTAATTTCGTATTTGGTGCTGAAAAACTGAGATTTTTACAAGAAGGAACATGTACCAGACAGCACTGAGGCAGATCGTCATTCTCCTCATTGTAGGTGTGCGGAACAGATCCAGGACAGAGTGGGTGCGTTGTGAGCAGGACATCTCTTTCTTCATGGTTTCCTGCAGGCCTCTATGCATACCGACAAAGATTAATGTATTTTATACACATTAATAAACACAGATAGATGGTACAATAACATAAACACAGCACATTCTCTTACCTTCATGTCGATTTTCTCTCCCTCTTCCTTCCGTCCATTAAATTTCGCCACACTTTTAAGGTTCTTGATGGCTTGTTCAGGGTTATTACTCATAACTAACCATCTTGAAGATTCATGAAACCACCTGTGTGAAATATGTGTTCTGTTAATCGTGCAAATAAACATGCATCTGTGATTCTGGTTTGCTTTGATTTGCATGTCAATACTTGGCATCTTACCATGCAATGAGGAAGAAGACAAAGAAAGGCAAAGACACAGCCAGGGTTAACCACCTCCAGTCCCGGATGAAGTACGCGATGAGCGCCAGTATCAACTGTCCAACTGTGTAGCAGTAACCTCCCGTTGTCCCCACTATTGTTCGCACACTAGTGGGGATCCACTCCACAACTTGATATTAAAGAAAAAAGAGATAGAGAAAGAAGTATTTTTATTTTATTTAGTACAATTATTATTCTTTAATCATTATGCATGTTGACTGCTTCCATTTAAGTTGTTTTACGCTGATTGTACCCTATCCAGCTAAATGTCTTACTGAGCGAGAAGGTGTTGAGCCCCACGCCGGCCAGAGCCATGCCACAGCCAAAGCGGAACAGGCAGAAGAGCGGGAAGGCAGTGGAGAAAGCAGCACATGTTCCTGACACAGCCATCAGCAGGTGAGAAATAAGCAATAGGATGCGTCGACCATATCTAGAGCCAAGTGGTGTTTAAAGAGTTTAATTCAGACTGTATCACATCATATGATTTTAACAAGGTAGCATGAAAAAAAGACGTGTAGTGTGGGACCATTTTAAAGGGGAAATATGATGCTAATTTTCTGGTTCATTCATGCATTCTGGTTTTCTAGTAGAACATTTAATTATGCTTTAATACCAAAAAAACTCAAATGTTCTCATACTGTATTTCTATAGATATGTGTGTTTTTTCATAAACACACATATCATGTTTTAAAGTTACATAAATGATTAATGTTGCCGCATATCTGACATAGCACAACGTTCCTTTAACTGTAAATCATTAGTGATGAGATCAATGTTACCTGTCTGAAAGACCTCCAAAGACAACAGCACCCAGAAGCACACCTCCCATGTAGACCGTCTGTCCCATTTGCTTCAAAGCCTGCCGATCACACACCAAATTCCACTAAAAAATATGGAACAACATTTAAGGCACAGGACAAGAAAACATATACACATAAGCAAAGAAAAATAAAATATATTCCTACATCAGATATGATTGTGGATTTCATGTGAGTCATGTTATAGGTCCATCCATCGGAACATCCCTGCAGGTCGACATCCAAACCAGCGTTAGTGTCTCCCTCCTTCCCTGAACTGGAGCTCCTGTTTTTTGTCAGGAGGTGCCACTGTGGAGCCGCGTAACGCAAGCACCTCTCTGGCTTCCCTGTCTGGTCCAGCGGCACCGTGACCAGCAGCGCTTCCTCTGCACTCATCTGGGACTGGGACAGGTTTGTGTGTGCGTTGCAGAAGTGAGGGGGAACCAAAGCCACAAAGTTCTGCAGCAGGTTGTGACTGGCCAACAACATCACAGGCATGCAGAGAAGGGTCGTATGCAGGACCTGGAAGCGTCCTGTGCTCCCTACCTGCTCCAAGAGTTCCCCAAACCCCATAGTGGTGTACTACAAAAACTCCACAAGTTAACTTTATGTTAATGACAGCACATCCTGTTGTTGGTAGGTTCCTTTGGAGCAAACATAAGGGGCAAGAGTAAAATATAATTAAAAAATGTTTGGATAATTTTAATTTCAATAGACTTACCTGCTGAATAATCTTTTCTCATAACATTAACATTTACAAAAAGATTGCTGCGCCAGAGAAAATCATTAAAACCACTTATACGTGATGCAGTCAACTTAAATTAGAATTCTTAGAAAGTGTTCCAAAAAAGGAAGTCCTTAAAAGCGAGCCGAAAAAATCAAAAAGAAGTAAAAATGGTCGCTGTTCGTGCAGTCTGTTAAATCCGCTCTTAAATTCCAACAGCTTTTCAGAACTTTGGATTATAAGTGCAATGTAACCTCTTGAGGTATTAGCGACTTGTTCACCAAACACTGAGGCAGAATGTGGAGTCCTTGCTGCGCAGGAACAATATCCGGATGAAGAGTTCCAGTGCAAGTCAGCTCAAACCAAGGGTGGGCTCATAACTATGCTCAGCTGTTTTCCCCTTTTGCACTGAGACCTTTTCCCTGCCTATATTGGTTACGCAACATGAATAACAGGGAGATAGTGTCTGTGTTTGTGGGCATGTGAATGTGAGGTCAAACAAACTGATTTTATCAGTTGCTTTAAAAATCTACATTATTTGTTCACTGGTTCAAAGGAAACACCACAGTCAGAAATGTGCAATCAGGCATACAGAAAAGGGAAAACCAAAAGTAAATGATTGATAAGAATTATAGCTGTGTTTATTTGGAGTCGGTTGACAGTTCAACTGAACTGCAGCCTGATACAAAAAATGTCTTTACTTCTGAGTGCAGTTTGTGATCCAAGCAGCCATCGTTGCAAATATTAAAGGTCAATCAATAGTTGAAAAATCCTCCACTTTAAAACTCGGTTCAATATTTTCGTGTCATAAATATGAGATATTAAAGTACAGAACTTATTGTCATTTGAAATATATATCATTGCATTTTAAATTGTCTATTAATTTACGTAACTATTCCATCCTGACAAGCAGCAGTTTATTGACTGCTGTATTTTTAAATCTCTTTTTACAACATTTCAAAATGCCTGTTTTTAATATGCTTCCACTGTATTTATTCTTAAATGTCTTTTATTTTATTTTGTAAAGCACTTTGGGTTGCCGTGTGCTGAAAGGTGCTGTCAAACCAAGTCAAAACACAAGACGAACCGACAAAGACAGACAGAAAAACCAGAACTTATATACACACAAGACTAATTATACAAACAAGACACAGGTGAGGAGGGAGGAGAAAACACAGGACACCAGGTGCACACAATCGGGTAATAAGACACACCAGGGAAACTAACGACAGGGAACCACAGACAGATCTAAAGACAAAACACAACGCAGACAGAAAACCAAAGACAGATCTAGACAAGACACAACGCAGACAGAAACAGGCAAGACAGGAGGTGAAGACCTTTCAAAATAAAACATGAAACAAAAGACAGAAAAAGACAAGACAAAATACAATAAAGACAGATCTTGACACTTGCCTTGCTTTACAATTTTAAATCGGTTTTAGCCTAAACAGATATTTCTCTTTGGCAGACACAATGGAAATATACTCACTTGTTATTTTCTTAAATTTGTTTAGTGAAAAGTCTGACACAGTGCAGTCTTTCTCATAGCACTTATCATAGTTATTTAGCATAGCATTTAAAAGACAAATTATTTCCGTACTTTACCTTGTCTTTTTAGAAGTGGAAAAAACTGCCCATTGATTTTGCCGTTCTGTGTGTGATTGAAAAACAGAATTATCTACCTGATTTCATATTGTTTACTTATTGATTGATATTTTAGCATAAGGCCCAGACAATGAATGACAGACGCAAACCAGTTAAATGTAAATCCTCTTGTCACATACTTCTTTGTCTGACTTGTTTCAGTAATTGTATCAGACAGTGCCCATTTAAAAGTAGCCTGGATAAAGAAGTGTGCAAAGTATTTCAGTTCAACAGAGCAAAGGGAATGAGAAGACTTAAATGTGTAGGTGCTGATTTTATTGAAAATATAGTTTTGTTTTCAAATACAAGATTACAAGTAATAAGAAGTTATACAAATACCAGTAAAAGCAAAGCACCTGTAGAAGGCACATTTTCTAAAATATAAAAACATGATTTATGCAAATCCAGACTAAAATCCTCCTATAACACAAACACACACAGATCTAATTGTTCACAGCTATTCATTTCACTGTATTGACCTGTCTTATTGCAACTCTACCTGTCTAGCAGACATACAATATAATAAGCTTTATATTGAAATCAAACTAATAAACAGGCCGGAGAAAAAGCAGTAACCAAGATTCCAGGGTTGCCAACTCTCACGCATCTGGCGTGTGACCAGGCCCGGTTCCAGAACAAAATGACTCAGGGTGCATCTGAGATTAGAGAGGGTGCAGTGGTAAAGTGCTATTTTTATAAGTGGGGAGTGGACCTAACACCCTCTAAGGCAGGGGTGGCCAACCAACAGAGGTAAAGAGCCAATAATCTTCCTGTGTTACTGCAAAGAGCCACATCATACAGTACACAGGCACACATGCTGGGTGTATGTCCCCCGACCTCTCTCTCTCTCTCTCCTTCTCTCTTTTGCTCTCAGCCTTTCTGTGTGCTCCCTCACTCTCTTCCTCTATGTGCCCCTCTCTATTTCTCACACATACAAAATGAAAATCTAAAAATGAACAATAATTGACACACACACACACACACACACACACACACACACTCACATACAGAAACACATACCTCCGCTCAGCCAGATTTCCTATAAATGTCACAGTCCATGATATTGACAGAAATGGACTTAAACCTCTCCTACCAGTATTAAAGGTGGGGTAGGTAAGTTTGAGAAACCGGCTCGAGATACACTTTTTGTTATATTCCATGGAATGCTCTTAACATCCCGATAGCAATTAATATCTTAAGTGCTTTGACAAAAAATCCATTAAAAAATGTCATCTGTGGAAGCCGTGGTAGGCCTACTGTAAAAAGCACGACCAATCATTTTAGCCGGCCCGGCTAAAATAACTGGATGGCCTACCTGCCTGTTAGCCTTCCATCTGTGCACAAACGTAGGCTATCTCGTGCCCTCATTGGTCATGTGCGCGTTCGTGTGTGTTGGAGGAGGGGCTCTGTAAGGAAGTAGCAGATTTTTTCCGGCTGTTATGGAGTCAGATTTGGGTCAATATTCTAGCGCGCAAAACAAGCTACTCACGAGTGGAAAATGTGCTTTTACACGCGCATGAAATGACCCCCGCGCGCAGATTAAACCCCCGCGAGTGAGAGAGACAGCCCTCTTGCTCGCTCGCGGGAGTGTCAGCCTCACTTGCTCGCGGAGTCTGTCTACGCGCGCGTGAAAAGTTTCTGACACTTTGGGGCGGAGCCACTGGACTTTGATTGACAGCTGCAAGGAAGCCCGGAGTTGCCATGTTTGATAAATGCCTGAACTACCAAGAGCCGAGGAGTGACAGCTGCAAGATCAGTTGGACGAGACTGAATGGTAAAGTTGTCCATAAAAAACTATTATATTCGGAAAGTGTACAGCTAATATATATATATATAAATATATATAAATTAATTTGATATAAAAAAATTACACATTAATTCTAGGAGTGCAATACTTTTACAAACACTATAGTAATAATATGCATTCATTATGACAACATCATACTATTACTATAGGAGTGTTCTTGTGTTCAAAAAACAACTACAGAAACACTATATATATTATACTATAGTTATACTATTTAAAATAATATAGGAATACTACAAAGATCTAGATACATAGTATTACTATTGAAATATTATAGGGAGCTAATAAAATGGCACTACAGAAAAAACTATAGTAATACAATAGCTGGTGAAAAATACAAACTTACTAAAGGACACTATACAACTCTTATAGTATACTATAGTAATAGCCTACTAATTCATTTATAGTTCATTTCGTAAGGGAGGTGCATACAGCAGACAGCAGTTTTCGACAGATACAGCCCACTCAAAAATATATTGTTTTATATAAAATGCATTAAGATATATATATATATATATATATATATATTAGCTGTACACTTTACAAATATAATAGTTTTTTATGGACAACTTTACCATTCAATCTCGTCCAACTGATCTTGCAGCTGTCACTCCTCGGCTCTTGGTAGTTCAGGCATTTATCAAACCTGGCAACTCCGGGCTTCCTTGCAGCTGTCAATCAAAGTCCAGTGGCTCCGCCCCAAAGTGCCAGAAACTTTTCACGCGCGTAGACAGACTCCGCGAGGCTGTCCCCCCTGATCACACCGGAAGCGTCTGCGCTGCGGCTGCGCCGCGCTGCGACCTCCTCCTGCGTCATAACCCACCAGGCGCGTTTCAAAACGTTGCGGAAGCGGAGCGTCGTGTGTGCAGCCTCGCAGTTGTTGGATGAACGTTCCACTTCCTGCCTGCGCCGCGTCAAAAATAGGATTCATCCTATATTTTAGAAATTCCTTGCGGCGAGGAGCTTCTGGGACGCTTCGAACCGCGGCGCGGCGCAGCGGATCTGGTGGAATAGCACCCATTGACTAGAGTGGCCGCGATCGCTAAAAACGCCGCAGACGCTCCTGGTGGGATTAGGGGGTCACACTCCCGCGAGCGAGCAAGAGGGCTGTGTCTCTCGCGAGCGAGCGCATAGCCGCTCGCGGGGGTTTAATCTGCGCGCGAGGGTCATTTTATGCGCGTGGAAAAGTACATTTTCCGCTCGTGAGTAGCTTGTTTTACGCGCTAGAATATTGACCCAAATCTGACTCCATACCTGTGTATTTTCAAATTCTAGCGCACTCGAGCTGGTTTCTCAAATTACCATACCCCACCCCACCTTTAAGACCAGAGGCCAGTTATAGTTAGGGTTGCCAACCGTCCCGTATTAGCCGGGACGCCCCGTATTTGAGCCAAAAGTGGCGTGTCCCGTACGGGACTTTGTTTGTCCCGGACTCCCGTGTAAAGGGAAAAAATATATATATTTTTCTGTTTGCGCAATTCAGTGTGTGTTAGTGTGCTGTATGCGAAGGGTGCTACCGCTCAGTTGACAGGGCAGGTCAGCCTGTTCAGTCGTGTGGGAAAATGAGCCCTGCCGGTGGAGGAGGTGATAATGAAAGAGGAGAAGAGAGAGAGGATGTGGTTCTGGGCCCTGGCCCTTCTAAAAAGAAAAGACTTGTGTCTTACAACAAACAGTGGGAAGAAAAACACAGTTGGGTAAAGCCCGTGAGTGGAGATCTGTCTCGGGTCTTCTGCACCTTGTGTCGGAGGGAGTTTTCAATAGGTCACGGTGGAGAAAATGACCTGAAACAGCATGCTGGCACAGAAATGCACAAGCGAGCAACACAAAATAAAGGTGCATCAAATATAACTAAATTCTTCGGCAGTTCAACTGCAGAACAAGACAAAGTTGCTGCATGTGAGGCAGACCCGGCGCCAGAACAAATCTA